TTTTAGTAGTAACAAGTTTTTTATTTTAACACCGTGACCAGCGCTAGATTACAGATTAAATTCATTAGAGGATGAATTTCTGCGTTTGACGGCTGGTATTAGTGTGACGCTATTCAGAATTTTCAGTCCTCCACACTTCGCTTCAACTACTTACAACGCTGATAAAACGTCAGTGTATTAATAACAAAAATGACTCAACTGGCAGAATTGCTATCAATGAGACTGCTCATAAAAGCACATATGTATATATACGAGACGTATCCAGTGACAGATGCATGCAAGTGTGTTATCCCGTAAAGTGGTGCCCTCTTAAAAGAGAATCCAAGACGAGAGATACGATTTATTATTAATAAATTGAAAGAAATACAGAATTAAATAGCCAATATACCATTCTTTTTAAAGCTTTGAACTCTAACGTTTATATTGTTGAGAACTATGAAGTAAAAATTGGGAGAAAACATGAAATGTACATATACTGCTGGCATACCTTTCACATGAATAAAGATAATTCTTAGAACTTTGTTATCATCTTCGTTTTCTCTTTTTTAATCATTTCAATTAAATTTATGTTTTAATTTAACATGATAGATCAACATTTAGGTGATTGAGTATGGATTCTCAGGAATCTTCTCTATTTATCTAGCTTCGTTACAAAAAACAAACAACTTTTATGCTACGTAAGCCCTATCGATGACTACACTGGGTTGAACCTGCACCTACATACATACAGTACCATCGAATCGTGACGCTTGAGCTCGAGAGTCGTTGCTTAACGTGTGTACATATACCCGTTTACGGTAAGAAAAAGGGACGTGGCAAAGACATAGGTGATCGAAATGGTTAGTATTTTTATATCAATACTTGCAACGACTTGTTTCGCACTGTTTTGTTACTAAAGGTATATTGAAACAAACGCGTGTAATGGAACTTTCACGTATTTTCAGGCATCGTACTCTGAGGACCAGTTGGCAGGTAAGTAAATGTGAATATCTTTGACATTAAGTAGAATGAGTTTAAAGCGGGGCAGACGGTTCGTTCTTGACGTTCAATTTAGGTCAAGAATATCGTTTACCTTATTAGACCCACCCTGGTGACATCGAATTACGTGTCAGTGATTACCATTTATGGTTAGGTATCTGAAAGAAATAGCAGAAAAGACGAAACGAAGACAGAACGTGAATAGCATCGGATCGTAACGACTGACGTACAGTGCATGCTTTACATTCGTCTTTAAAACCGTTTCTGACCGTAGTTCTCTTAATATGCTTGCATTGTAAACAATATTACTGTGTTACCAAATAAATTAAAGCACTTATCGATTGTCTATCATTGTCATAATTAAAAGGGAATTGTTCTTTTATTTCGTATTCGTGCGATTTTCGTGGTTGGTTAATTCAAAAAGTAAAATTATATTATTTAAAATAACAAATACCATACTACAATTCAGGATGTATGGTTGTACGTACCAAGAACTGACTAATAGGATGATGTCATCCATTGAGGGTAAATAGATCTATTGTTTGCAGAAGTGAAAGAAAAATGTTTCAAATTGAAAAAGGGAAATACTAATTGTAATATTGTATTCCTACAGAGTTTCAAGAGGCGTTCCAACTGTTCGACAGTCGGGGAGATGGAAAAATTCACGTAGCACAAATTGGAGATGCATTACGTGCCCTAGGACAAAATCCAACCGAATCAGATGTGAAAAAATTCACTCATCAACACAAACCGGATGAACGCATTAGTTTTGAAGTATTCCTGCCAATATATCAAGCTATCAGCAAATCTCGTACATCCGACACTGCTGACGATTTCATAGAAGGTTTACGTCACTTCGACAAAGATGGGAACGGTTTTATCTCATCGGCTGAATTGAGACATCTGTTAACTACGCTGGGTATGTAACGAAGCATATTTCTCTTTGTAACATGTGTTTATTTTGTTACTTTGTAATTAAGTGTTTGTGCTTCTTGACAGGTGAAAAACTCAGTGACGAAGAAGTCGAAACTCTATTGGCTGGCCATGAAGATTCACAGGGTAATATTAACTATGAAGATTTCGTTCGTCAAGTGATGTGTGGTTAAACTAGCAATTGCTAATCAGTAAGATTTGTATCTATCATAAAAGTTTTATGACAAAAGCATTTACTTTTTTTTAATTTACTGTACTTCGTCACAATGCAATGTTATAATAAGATTGTACATGTATGATAGCTATCAATAATCTTTTGTTATCATGATAGAATATCAGTCTCCTTATGTGTACATGTTTAATGCTATGAGTACCTTGTGCCTTGATGTGAAAGATTCAG